TTTGTTTTTTTACATTTTTTACATTTTCCTGAATAAAGTTAAAAGTTTTAACCTTTTATTTTCCAATCCCTAAACGGGAGACCAAGATATCTTGTTGATTGATGAGTGGAGATACCCGTATGTGTTTGGTAGATTGTGTTTTGGGTTAAGAGAGGTATGCTGTTGCTGAAGAAAATTGTGGATTTTTTAAAGGTTTAATTTCTGGTCGTAGATGAGGTTATAATTTCTCAAAATGTGCAAAATCAAAAGAGCATGATTATTATTGGCTTGAGAAAAAATAGAGATTACCATCAACAAAGAAAAGATGAGCGAGGACTGGACCTAGCTTAAAAAGCTTCAGACCCACAAAATCCCATGTTAGGACTTTTTTTATAAGGTGAGAGAAAGTTTCAGAAACTAAGGTCTCACTAAGTCTACAACAGTTCCATTAACATTAAAAGAAAAGGAGGGAGATGAGATACAAGCCAAAATCCATTTCACAAAAGAAGCATGAAAATCAATTTTAAGCATGATTTGTCTTAACCAATCTCATTCAACCATGTCAAAGGCTTTAGACATACCAAGCTTAGTAGCCATAAAACATTTTTTGCCACTCATATTTATGTTCAGAAAATAAAAAGCTTCCTGAGCCACTATAAAATTATCAAGAATTTGTCTATCCAGAACAAAGGCTCTTGGTTTCCACTTATGCACAAGGGCATACAAGGTTTCAATCCTTTGGGAAGATTTTTTGAAATGACCTTGTAAGCTACACCTCAAAGGATAATTGGACTATAATGAGACACTGCTTTAGGATTCGAGATTTTTGGGATCAAGGTAACAAGAGTATGATTTAGGCTCTTTAAAATTTGACAAAAAAAAAAAAAAAAAAGGAAACCATATTATAGAGATCAAACTTCACTAAGGGCGAAAAGTGTTGAAAGAAGGCATAGGTAATATCATTTGGGCCCTGGGCTTTGTTTAGATCTATGTCGAAAAGCACATCTTTGAATTTTTCGATCTCTACCATCCCCGCAAGCTCCCTGTTCATATCTTTAGTAATCACAACATTTAAATCCTATAGTAACTCATCACCTCTCATTGGGCCTTCAGAATTGAAGAGAATATGGTATAAATCCTTAATGAAAGTTGTAATCTCCTCGTTAGTCTCACAGATGATTTGATCTTCTTTGATAAGCCTGGATATTGAGTTCTTTTTCCTTCTCTATAGAGTGTTGGCATGGAAAAATTTTGAATTGTTATCCCCTCCATTGAGCCAAGAAATTCTGGATGTTTGCTGCCAGCAAAGCTTTTCTTCTTTTTGACTCATTCAGATGCTTATAAAGAGAATCACATGGGTCCTAGTCTTTTAGGGCCCCTCTTCCCCCTCCCCCCCTCCCCTACCCCTTGACAATTAAGCTCACCCAACTGTTTTTTAACAAACTTAATCTTGTTGGCATTTGTAGTTTTGAAGCCTCTACTCCATTTTAGAAGCTCCACTTTGCAGGTGGCTTTTATTTTGGAAGTAAAGCAGTACATGGGTGTTTTATTTAGTCAGAGTTGCCACTCTTTCTCCACAACTTCATTGATTCATTGCTTCTCCAGCCATCTTTTGTCAAAACATGGTCTTCTTTTGGTTTTGACAAGCTCATAAATTTAGGAATGAGATATAACCTTTTCTTCCAAAGATCATGTCTAACTTTCTTCCACATAACCTTCCCATTCCTTTTTATATCCCCATGTGAACCTGTGCCCCTTCACGTCTATTTCTTAAATCCCCATATTGTAAATGAAGCCTTTGAAAGATTGGAAAGTGGTTTCAATTCTAGTTTGATTTTTCTCCACTCAGTCACATTTCTTTGTTCTCATCTTTGGGTCCGTGCTTATATAAATATAGATACCCCCAACAACTTATTGTTATACTCTTCTCCCAAAATTCAACTTCGATGCAAAAAGAAGACAAAATTGAATAATATTTACTGAGTCAGCCCAACAAAATAAAATCCCTCTTCTCTTCCCATAAGGATCCTCATCAACCCACCTATCATGAACCGGTGTTTCTGAACTTTTTTGTACTGGTGACCTTCTACTATAAAAGTTGAAGTGTTAGTGCTCTGTGGCTCTGAAATTGTGAGATGTCTTTTTCCCCAGGTGTTTCTAATCTTTGTACTTCCTGTAAATATTTTTAGATGGATTGTTTCTCCTCTTCCATCATTTTTTTTTTCCGACTTTTAACTACTTCTGCATCTTGGGAAGCCTCAAAGATGAAGATTGGGATGATCTGTTGAGACTCTGGTGCCTTGAGTGCTAGAATTGAGCTTTTATTAATCACTTTTGCCATCTCATCCTCAAACTCCACAAGAGCTAGTTTCTAGGTGGAAAATGATTAGGGTTATATTTGTTTAGTTTAGGTTGCTATTGATACTGAGGGGAAGGAATTTATGGTTTTGATTTTTGTTCACGGCTAGTTTTGTGTGTTTTCTTGTTTGATTGGGTGTGAGATAGCTAATTGTTTTTTGTTGGGTTGAGGATTGTTGATGGTGTTTGTGAACTGCTTCTGAGTTTGTACTCCACTGACATGGCTAAAAGAAGAGGAGTTATTCTTTACTCTCATCCAGTCCCCAAATACACCTTCTGTTAGGTTTCTCGAAACTATATCTATTTATCTTTTTTGGACATGATTTGTCTAAATGCCCTATTACTCCACAATAGTGACAAAGATTGACTGACATTTCATACTTGAGCTCCACAATTATTTTCCTAACCTCTAGTTGGATATTATCACATCTCATCAGTGGTTGATTTAAATCAATTGTGACAAGCAATCTAAGGCATTTTCTGGCTAGATTCTCTCCTTAAGGCACTGAGACGTCTTTGATTTTCCGAAAGCTCTTCCAATTCTAGTCCCACTTCTGCCGATATCCAATTTATTGATATATTCCAAACTTGAACCCATAAATCTATTTTCACAAAATCTGGATGATTGGATATGTCCTTTTTCCATTCTGAATGAGAAAATTGTCTTCGAACGTCCAACAAATGCCCCTCGCAACCTTGATTTTATTTGCCTTTTCTAAGAAGAGAAATTGTAAAAATTTAGTGCTCGTTTCTCTGATTGCTACAGAAGAACTAATTTGCCAAATTTGGGCTATAGCTAGCTTATGGCCGATCAAGTGCGCTTTCTTTTGGCCTACTATTTTCCCAAACGAACTGCGTTTACACTCTTAGGAACTGAACTGGATGCCCTCAAATCAATCGAAATAGTACGAGCTTTATTCAACAACTGAAAGATCCTAGCTTGTTAACCATATCCTGTTCCATACTACTGGTCTAAAAAAAGTGGCGATAGTAGAGATAAAGGATCAAAGTAACACATACAACTTGAAAGGGATAGAAATTGGATAGAACCTTGCTAATGAGTAGCAGAAACTGAATGAGTAGACAATGAAGAAGGAAGTGAAGACTAACTTGCAATAAACCTGCTTTCAGCTCTTAAATGGAAAATTAATTCTGCCTGCAGACGAGACACTACCACCCTCACTCGAAGAAATCTCGTGCCCCCATAGAAAAGAGAATTTTGTGTATGTGAACTTTTACAATATATTAATAAACATTATAGCTATTCACAATGAATATAATCCATCAGAAATTCTATAAAACTATCAAATGGTTTTTTTTTATGGAGTCATCCATCACTAAGATGTATATACACTTGTCCAAAGTGTATTTATTATAGAACGAGTGTCAATACACTATTTGTGAACTTCTATGGATGTCTTTATGTCATCCGATTACTCCATAGCAAAATTGTAAAATCCATATAATATAATTCACAAAACTATTTGTCCATATTGAAATTTGTCTCTTTTTTTCTCAAAGGGTCCAATAGAAAATCAACCATCATGGTTTACATGAAATAGAAAACCCTCTTAACACACATTCCTAGTCCACACATCACAACAGTGATAACAAGGTAAGAATAGAGGATCACACATCCCCAATCTCCAACCAACCATGGCAGCCGCCACCGCCGCCCTATCCCTCCTCTCACCCACCCACCTCCGCCGCCGCCTCTCCCCCTCTCACCTCCACCTCCGC